CGCCGGGTGCATCCACGCCGTCCGTGGAGCCTTGGTGCCTCCACGCACCACCCCATATCACGAACGGAGCGCGGCGACGAGGTCATATCGCGGCCACCAGCAGCCCACCATGGAGTATGGCGGTCCCACAGAGCACCTCAGTGCTGCGCAACGATTACTTACAGCCCTTGGTGCTTTCGGCGCCGCGTGGGGTTGCGCGCGCGCGCGCCTCGTCCATGTTCGTTGCTGGCTGTGGGCCGGGCACGTACGTCGAATCCTCATCATCGTCTTCTGCTAATAGACCAATGGCGGTTGGCTACCTGATGACCATTATTCAGGAAAAAATATAACAAAAAATCGTTGGCAGGCAGGACGTTCGGGTTATTCAACAATGCACTAAAGTGCCGGACCTATCGGAGTAACGGTTCTCATGCCGACGGGACCGAGACACAATGTGCTACTGGCCAGAAACAAAAAAAAGAGAAAACATTGGACATTGTAAGTTTGAGGCTTACTTATGTCCCCGCGACCAGCCTGGCGGACAACAGATTCTAACATCAGCGTATTTGTCACTATGGCAATTGAAGAGAAAATTTGGCGCAGAAGCCATGTGATATTTAAGCGAGGTCAGGCCTGAGGCTCGGCGGGAGCCATTTAGCGATCTGACTACAGCTGGCGGTCGGGGGAGCGAATGGCTGCCCCGGCTGCGCCTCGCCGCGGCCCGTGCGATGGGGAGATGGCTTAAGGACTTTCAAATTCGAAAACTTTTGCATGGCAATGCGCATGGCCGGTGTCGGCCATGCATGTAAATGCCCATGGCCATTCGCACGGCCATAACAGCTGTTGCTGTTGTGGGTCGACTGGCAGGCAACTACGTGTGTGACGCGCGACAACTGTCGACAACGCTCGACGCGTGACAACTGCGTCGCGCCGGAGAAGCACCAAGATGTGCTGTTTGTCTGGAGCTACTCAGCTCCAGATAAAAACAAAATCAGAAGCTAGCATCCTTATTGGCTTTGGACGCCGCTGTGGCCATAGATATCGGAACAATCGGACAAGCGAACGAACAATCGGAGGAAACCACCCACCGCGCACGGCGGACATACTCTGACACATTAACGGAATGTACATCATACGTGTCAGCGCAACACCATTCAAGGGTGTGTACCATTGCGCTCAGAATTAAACAAGAGAATACGTCTGTTTAAGCGTTGCTTCGCCTCATAGCTGGATTTCCGAAACACGGTCATTCAGTTACTTCAATTATCCGGCAAAATTGACCTTCAACCTGGCCTAGTGAGGTCAGTTCTTGACTTGGGAACAAAAGGCTGAAAAATCGCGACACCACATTGAGACCAATCTACTATTGTTCGTCCGGATCTAACTTTCTTAGCTTGTCTAACTTTCTTAGCTTGAAAACGGAAGGGAGCGATAGCAACTTTTGCCTTTTTGTCGCCTTTTGGATTGGACTAGGTATACGGAATTGAATCAGTACCCTTCCGCCAGTCGTGCACCGCATTTCACATGATCTCGATTTCTTGAGCAGCTCGTGATCTTATGAATAAATTTACCTGAAGCTGGTTTTCGTCTTGTAGTTTTCTGTCTCACCACTGTAAGAGGAAAACCAAAGATCATGATTTCTATGAGCAGTTTCCTTCATGGACGGAACAAAAATGTTCGTGATGACTGGTATCTTGGAAGTACAAAAGAACCACTTCATAATTAACTAAAAGCAGGCAAAAAACAATGACGACACACAAGCTGCAAAACGTTACGAAACAAAATAATGAGCAAATTTCGCGCGCAGAGCAGTTGGGATTTGCAGCAATGACAGATAGTCTATACCATGACACATTATGTTGTTAGGCGGTGTCTACCAATGATCAGTTTTAAACCCAAACAGAGCACAATCACCCTTGGTTGCTACACCCACTCTCAAAGGGCACTGTGCGATCTGATGCCCTGAGCTTATGCTGCTGCTCACGCTTCATTCAATGCTTTAAGAAACGCTTTTTAGCCCATGTACCAACCTTTCTCAAAATATGACCGGATTAGGCTTGGAAGCACTCTTTCTCTCGAAACCCATGTAGGAACTCTGAAATAAGTTGATAAATGTGAGAATGTACGCCAATTAGG